AGAGGAAGCAGTTTTGCAACCATGCTATAAGAGCATAGATTTATCGTAAGCATTAAAGCAGATAACTCACGCTATAAACTTTGCCCAAATGCAAAATCTAACATCAATCATACCCTCAATCCCTGTAGATTTCATAGTGAGCCTGAGAAATGGCTTTATTCTTAGATAGGTAAACTCCTTATAGTTTGTTCTGTCTTGTGAATTCAGCATGGTGGGGAGCATTGATACAGTTAGCAGTGTTCTCCACAGTAATTCTAATTTGCATCAGTACAAAAGGCGTCTTGTCCTCCAGCTGCTATTTAATACTTGTGTGGCTAAAGATGAAAGGAATGCAATCAGGCTGTATCTAAATACAGTATTTCCACACATACACATGGCTATAATCACTATAACTCACACAAAAGCTAATACAAATTGTGAAACATTTTGACAATGCACCTGAACCAGGACTGTCAGATTTCTGTGTTCTAGAAAAATGTGAAGGAGAACATCTGCCAGCAATTGGCACTATATTATCTACTGCGAGCATCTTGATGGTATTTGGTAATTAAAATTAAGCATTACGTTGGGAGCACTTTCTGTTGTGTGCGCTCAGAGCAGTGCACTTTATCCTCCAATTAGGTATAAGCAATAGGACATCTCTGCTTTTTTAAAATCAGAGATATGTGGAAGGCCTCTTCTTAAAATCACTGTTGTACAGACTTAAGATGAAGAAGAAACAATACGAAGCAAAATTGTCAAAAACATCTTCCAACACTTCTATGAGTAAAGGAAAATAATACTTGTGTCACTTTCCCTTGAATCCAGGTGTTAACTACAGGGTAGAGCCATTCATCCTCATAATTGTTTTCCCTACGTGGATAAAGTTGCAATTTATAGTTATGAACAGAGTAATATTGCATCTTTATCCCTTTTCAGGAGCAGCACTTCTGCTTTCTCACCTTTATCACCAGTGAACGCTGCCGTTAGTTTACAAATAGAGGGCCGCAAATCCGGTTAGGTGTAATTCAATCAAAACCAAGTGAGTAGCTCGGAAAGGACTAATGTCCTTTTGTCATTTTGTCTCCATGGCAACGGGTGTGCCAGCTCAAGTTTGGAAACAGAGTTTGTGCAAACAGTGGTAAAACCCTAATTAGAGCACGCTGTGTGTGTGTGTGTGTGTGTGTGTGTGTGTGTGTGTGTGTGTGTGTGTGTGTGTGTGTGTGTATACACAGTCTTGATCCGGGTAGCATCTGATTGTAGCCACTCTCTGTAGAAGCGGCGCTATTGATTGCTAAACACTTGCAGCCGGCTCACACAGTCAACAAAGCCCAGCGGCACAGTATGATAATGATTAATGTATAAATGATGACTATCTGATGGTATTGTTTGCCTAACTGGCACCGCGCAGCTGTTTGAGATGAATACTGGACTGTGACAGTAGCTGCGTGTTGGCTCAGAGTGACCTTCTTGTCCACTCATGTTCTATTCTTCAAATTAGCTTTAATCATTGCTGTTGGTCGGTGAACAACACGCTGCTGATGATGAGAGAATTTATCCTCAAAAGTAAAGCTGCGGTTGCCCTCCTGTAAGCAGAGGACTGTTGTCAGCTTAGCTTGATTACTGTCCACAAATTGATGGTCGGAGTCTTGTCGGTGCTTCGGGTCTAATGATATTTACAGTGTTTATTTCACATATAATCGACATTATGAATCAACAAGAATTCAGACATTGTAGCCAGTTTATCGGGTGCATGCACACTAGTTAAAATGAATGCATTGCAATGCAACAGCCTCATTAACTAGTAATCTCTCCAAGAGGATGTTGCTGATTTGAAGTCACACATGGAAGGTGTTTAACAAACACGCTTCTGATATCGACATAAACTCTCAGACATTATTTTCCATTGTTCTCTTACTCTGCGCACACTTCAGCTCCCCGTTTCTTTCATCAGATCAGCGGTTATGAGAACTGACCGTCTATCAGACTCCGGGCGGTTCTATTACCTGACCCCTCAACTGAAAGCAAATCCTCCGTCACTTCACCGAAGCAAAAGCCAACAACAATAAGACACAAGCACACGTGCAACTTCTGCAAACATTACTGACACGGGACGGTCAGTAAACGAGACGGGACACATTAAGTTCACCCTTAGCAACAAGCATCGTTTAGTCAACACACGGACCCCCTCACATACGCTTCTTTCTTTCTATTTGCCTCCAATAAACCTAATCTCAGCATATTTTGGTAATCTCGCTCCAGGCAGGAAGAGGGGGGGGGGGGGGAGCCCACTGCAGAGAGCCTCATTGCCAACCCACTGCGCCAACCCTGATGACATCGTCACTATGCACCACTCACCAGAGCGGGACCGGTGACACTTTGACACGCTGCGGGCATTAACAGAACTGTTGCAGACAAATCCCTGTACAATGCAACACGATGCGCAGTGTGTGTCTTTTGCGTTTCTTTGTGCGCTATGGTGGGTTTATGGTGGGCTTAAGAATGATATGTCATCCAGAGAATTCCAATCACACAGAATGTGAGAAGATACATAATTCTCACCCGTTTGATGGGCTGTTTTCTTTTGGTGGATTGTTTTATTGTTGACTTATTTGCCGGGGTCTTGTTTGAGAGGGATGATCCAGGCTAAGCAGGATACTTGTAAACAGATTTGTATGTTGTGAAGTCTTGGTAAAGTGGTTCAATGCGATTTGGAAAAGCTACCAGCCTTCGTTAAACTTGTGATGTACACTATTTGATCGTAATGAGCTACTTAACATCCTTTGAGCGCTAAAGTCTTGCTTCAGACAACACGGAGCCATGTCGACTTCACATCCTATATTAATGTGTTGGTACTTAAATGTGTTAAAATTGTCCATTGCTTTTTCTTTAATCCAACGTTTGGCCTTTTACTTTTTAAGGCTGTTTTTTTTTTTCCAAACATGATTTTTACAACCATCTCACTACTGAAGTGTTCTTCCACAGTGTTTGTTATATTTCGTATATATATTTCTGTGGATCACTAAGGTCATGCGATATCCAATGAGGGAATGAATCAATATCAGAACCAATATTAGACCAAGTTGCAAGCAACTAATTTAGCCCCGATGGGATAAACTAGTTGTCTGTAGATCACTTTACAAGATGAATCACATCACCTCAACTGGAACAACGACGCAGGACATTGACAGGCCATTGACTAAACGGTTTTCTGACGAAATGGGCCGCGACTGTTGTGGAACCTAAGCTATATCAATCACTCTTCTGCCTGTGGTGACACGGACACAGACAACGACATTCAATCACTGATGTGTGTTTGAATGTTTAACTTTGAGCCCCCCTGGGGGATCACAGTTTCTTCAACAAGAACAAAAAGCTTATTTCGGACAAATAATGACAAACAATAGAAGACAGATTCTGTTTAAGGCATTGGGTCAGTTGGCTTAAAAATGCCTTTTTTTACAAGCTCCTTGAGAGAAAAATAAAACACTGGCAAAATGATGAAATGTTTCCAGTTGTGTGTGTGCAACCCTAACGTAGTGTTCATGCGGAATGAAATCAAAAGGACAGGACTTTGGACCATTGGACCACTTAAGAAGTCAAAATTGAGCAGGACAAATGCATGACTATGTGCAGCTACGGAAACTGGAGAGGGGAAACACATAGAGGAATAAAAATTACTAAGCAACGTTGGCTGGCAGACATTTGAAGCCACGGGTAGAAACGGAACAACATTCAGACAAACCGTGAAGGACGGCGGAAAGGTGAATGGAATAAACAAACCGTAATAAGAGAGGTGGGTAAGTCCTCGAGACGGAAAGCAATGGCAGAGAATGGAAACAGCACGGCAGAGAATGACGTGTACGCAAAAGCGCGCGATTGAAAAGAGCGAGAGAGAGAGAGTCAACGACAGGCCACATGGGAGAAGATGAAGGTGTGTGCAGCGTGTCAATACAAACATTCAGTCACTCGGGGGCCTCCATCCGACTGAAACCGAAGTCAGGCATTTATTACAGAGGGCCTCCCGTTTCTTTATTCCAACAATGTCACACCTTCCCCTGCCTCGTGTTTTCTCTGTGTCTCTCCGCAGGCAAATCTCTCCGCGTGTCCATTTATTACCCGAGCGGGGGGAGCAGCAGAGGGGCTGCGGCGGCATCAATAATTGCTTGCGCCCCTGAAGGCGTGCTGGGAACCCTGGGTGTTTATGAGGGCGTAATCTCCTACCTGGCTCGCACTCACACCTTCACCCCCCCCCCCCACCTCCGTGACCGGTGAGCCGGGGGGAGACGGGCAGGCTGGCTGTTGTTTGGACAATTCGCAGCCTGTGACACGATGGCCGAGCGACGGAAAAAAAACGACGGGTCGGAAAGAGGGATTAGAATCAGAGGAAATTTGGGCGGGGAAGGAAGGCCCTCGCACGGACACACGCTATCAGCAGGTACATTTATATACCTGGTGTGAAGCTTGGATGACGCGTCGTTCTCTCTAAATGTATGTTGTACGTCACCCGAGATGCTGACACTGTTGTGTTTCACTTCCCACCTGCTTTGCCACTGTGATGCTGGCACTGGTAACCCGCACACTGGTGCAGCATTATGTCTCGAAGCAACATAATAACGCTCCTCGCGTTACAGTATCGTTCACAGACGCACGCACCGTATTATTTCATTATCAGTCTTACTGAGTGTTAGTGCATTTGTAACAATAGCATTTATTTTTACAATCAAATGACAATGTATTATGTTCATTTTTTTTTGTTGTTGTAGTTTAATATACCTTTATTAATTAATTATGATTAATTGTTCCACCTTATCTTTCCTTCCTAATGAAGATCAAGCAATTTGTTTTTTTACGTAGTATTAAGTGGGGGAGAGGTGCAAGACAATTCCAGTTTTTTTAATAAGGTAAAATACTAATCATAATATTATTATAATGTATTTACTGTAACTACGAATTCATGTGTAGTTTTCAAGTGTGCCCCCAAACACGGAGGAAGAGAGCTGCCGAAGGTCAAAGGATACATCCGTATGCCGCCTGTTCTGGAGCCCACGGCCAGGATCTTCTGCACAGGGTCAAAGGCCAAAGCAGTCGGCTGGTAAGGAAAGCCGTGACGCACAGTCTGTAAGGAAAGACACAAACATTTAATTACATGGTCTTTTCTACCCTCGTGATATTCAACTCTCTGGGGAATGAAGTCATTTCAAAAAGCATTAACATTTTCTAAAAGAAAAATGTACCATGTAAAGCATTTTTTTTCTTCTAATTTGATAGTGTAAAAGAAAAATGATTTAGTCATTTACTTCTTATGTCAAGAAACATTTGTCTAGTTATGAAAATACTTTCCTCTAGGTGAGAAAACAAAGACTAGGATGCAAAAAAAATATCGTGTCACTTTGCCTGATCGCTTGTGCGACATGCAGACACAATTAGTAACGCTTCAATGCAACGAGGCATTTGGTCATAAGCACACACATAAGTACAAAAAGGTACTACCTGTACCTGTTTGTAGCACTTACTCGTACAGATCAGATTACTGATGCCTCCAAATCTCAACAAACTTCTACGGATATAACACGGAGACTTCACACTGTATAATAAGTAACAGAACCACATCTTCTGTTCATATTGCATCTGGATTTAATTGAGGGGAAAGTAGATTCAGCAAATGCCGAGGCCTGACTAAGCAAAAATACACCGTCCCTGAAATGCACTGCGTGCGCTCCCAGCTGTCTGCCATTAGCTGTGTTAAATTTCCCAGCAGTGCTTGGAATACAGTTATCTGCTCGTGAGTGATGCATAATAGCTGTTGAATAAAAATGTGTCGAGGATATTAAAGTTTTACCAGCAGAACGCAGTATGAGAAATTACTGTTATAATGCTTCAGATAACAATAACATGTTTTATCTATCAGATTATAATCACTACACATAACAGCAACACTGTCTGTCACAGCAATCCTGCTTAGGCAAAAGTAATAAACATTTCTCCTGTATACATGTATGCTGAACGTGCTAAAATGAAGATGTTTTCAATCAATCCCACAATGATTATTCTTAAATGAATTTAAAGGAATAGTGAATGGGTGATCGAGGCCGAGCCAGAGACTTCATTAAATCCCCAGGAAACCAATCTTCCACATTCAACCGGAACATTTAGTTAGTAGTGAACAGGTAGAAATGAAAGCCTATAACTGCGAACTGCATTATTTCTCTGAGAATGCAAATAACCCTTTGTGACCAAATATTGGAAAAGGGGCTGAATTTCATCTGGGAAATTGTTAAAAGAAATGGCTCAATACAAGATCTCCCACAATGAAGTCATCAGTTGCTTACTTGCTGATAACACGACACCCATTGTTGCCAGACTTCCCCACCTCACCGTCGCAATACACCTTTGTTTGGCTGGCTGAATTGCTGCAACGAGGGGTTTATGCTCTCTCTAATGCCGCTCAGCGTTGATCCGACTCAACGGGGGAAACGAAAAGCAAAACAGAGACACACTGAGTAGCTCTGCTGGCACGTGCACAGTGTGCACTTGTGATATCTGTGTGCACGCTTTGCAAAAAATTCTCATTCAGAAAACGGCGAGCAAGAGCTTTCGGCTGTGTAGGCTATATGTCCATCATTATTACTATTTAGACATGTTGCATATTCATGGGGGAATGCGGTTGGTGCATGGCATTATAAATTGATAATGTAACGAGCAGGGGGCACAGCTACAGCATACTAATTACTGCACAAGTACCCAACCTTCAGATGGATACATATTAGTCACTAGGCTAGTACATGCGCAGCAGGGTCCCACCGCTTCATACGAGCCAATGAAGGCCTTGAATATAAGCTTTAAGGCAGAAATGGTAAATACACCGCTGTTCTACTCGTATTTCCCTCTTCCAGTTTTTCCAATCTCTCGAACCGCTCCGAGTCATCATCGACCCATTTAACCCCTATTGATACACTGATGGCGGGCGGCTATCTTGCAAGGAGCCACCTGCCCGTCAAGAGTATCTAATCATTCATACACCGCAGGAACAGCCTGAGGGAGCAATTAGCGGCTAAGTGTCTTGGCCAAGAGGACACATCGACATGGACGAGCAGAGCCGGATATCGAACCATCGATCCTCCGATTGAAGGACGACCCCACTGAGCCGCGGCCAACGGCCAACGAAAACAGTAAGTATAGCATCATGCCGTTTTCCCCATTTCGATTAAGGATATTAATATCTACAAAATTGCGCCGCGTGGATCTTCGCTTTACGTTTCTACCAGAAAAACAGCTTCATAGTGTGATTGAATGAACACAACCAGCTGTAAAGATGCTTCCTTCACACTGTATTCCAACTCAAAAAGAAGTGGCGTTGTAACACAAAGATATAATCACCAAGCGGACCTGCTGGTTAAGTGGCTGTAAAGTACAGCAGTGTGCACACCGGTAGATGTTAGCTTTTGGCCAAAAACACTGTCGAGAAAAAAAAAGTAGCGGCTGAGAAGCATTGAGCCGTGCGTGTGCTGGTACATTAGACAAACACGTCCAAAACAATAACGGTGTGCCGACTGTTTCCATCCCACTGTGTCTCCGGCTCCAAAATAGCAGCTGAGGGTCAGAGGCGCAATCAGCTGTTATCCCCTTCTCGCCAGGTGCCATTTAAGAGGGGTGACTGAGGAGGGAGCAGGCGGTCAATGGCGGCATTTAAAACAAGGTGTTTCTGAGAAAGTGTGACCCGCCAGGACCACGTCACATCCTTGAGCACGGAGCCATAAACAAACCAGCCAAAATAGAGTTTTCTGCAGCAGAATGCGAGACAGAAAGACAGACAAAGATAAAAAGGACCCAACAGACAAGCTCTCCCCAAACCCTCGGGTCAATAATGAATTAACTTTCGTTTTCTACGCAAAAGCCATAACTCTTTAATATATAGTCCAAAGTTTGTTGGATGGTACAGCTTTGAGATTGGAATTCTCCTCAATGATTTAATGTTCTGTATACTTGCATGAGTCCTGATGCAAAAAGTATGTTTGGACAAAGCAGCCGTGTTTATCGCGGTTACCAGGAAATAAAATGTCCGAGCCACTAGCGCGATCGAGAGCTGCACATGATGCTAACAACGGGGAACAGAATGAGTCAGAGCCCCCGAGAGCACTTCTCATTCTTGGCTGTGATTAGATTTCCATCGGCACATTAATGTGCAAATAGAGAAATTAATCAGGCTTACATTCACATTCATTGGCAAAATCATTCATATGTGAGTGGCATGCACACACGTACTGGAGAATAACACACATTTAGGTCAGACAAACACAATCACCCATTCATCCTCCAAGTCTTGCCACCAATCAGCTTCAGGTTCTCTAGCCTAAATCTGGTACTGGTACACGGTTGCTGGGATACAGAAGACCCCCCCCACACACACACACACACATGCATACAAGATAGAAAACACCTTTACTATGGTGAATCGCAGAGCTGCTCATATATATTTCAAAGCAAAAACCATAAAGCCATTTCTCTCTCTTTTAGTGTGTCGTATGTGTTCATGTGTGTGAATTCAGGTTAACACACTTCCACCACACACACAGACTCCCTCTTTCACTCTGTCCGTCTCCCCATCGCTCATCTAAAAGACTGTTTTAGTCATTCAGCAATCTTAATCTACCTATGTGATTAGTCCTGTGTGAAAAATTAACCCGGACCAATAAGCGCAGAGGACTTTAAAAAATGCTGTGGATGTAGCAAAGATCAGGCCTGCATTCACAGACCAGCTGACCTGCAGCTAAGGACCTGCGTTATTACTGCCGGAGGCTGCATTACATCAACTCTTCTCCCCATCCACCCCCTTCCCTCTCCTCCCCCTCTGTGGTGTTGTTCTCTGCCCTCCACGCATGCACGGCCTCGATGCACTGCACGCCAGGCTGGCGTTTAATCAGATAACGCGCTCACCCTCACCCACCAAAGACGGTTACCGCCCCGTGCCACCCACCATTCTCTCTTTTCACACGGTGTTCAGCTGCAGAGCTGGTCTAGACCCTTGCTTCTATAAATAGCAACCAGCAAACATGTCTGCCACTGCCAGAAATGTTTGCATCTTTGCAGCTACAGCCCCAAGCACGGATCAACACAGTGAAATATGACTTTGAAGGGATTATAAATCAAATTTGGGTACAAAAGAAAAAAAAGAAGCAAATACGCATGTAACGGTTGTGATGCAGCTTATTAGCAAAGACTAATATACGTTAAGGGAAATGCATGCCAGCTTTCACATCTTTAAGGCACCGCTGATCGTGGCTTTGCAGTGCCTTGACCCGCATGTGATTCTTTTATCCCGACACTGCGTCTCTCCATCTCTTTCTCGGACAGGTGGTCAGCGAGCTGAAACTGGCTGAACTTGATTGATTCACTTCAACACGGCACACTGCAGGACCTGAGGGGATGCCAGGAGTAATGCACCGAGCGCAGACTCCGACCGTGACGGCGCATGGATACACGTATCTACACAGAAACAAAATTACGAGGTGAACATCTGAAGCGCAGCAAGAATAGATTTAGGATTGGATGAAGGTGCCACTCGTGATTTTTGGAGTTTAAACGTGTGTCATGTGTCACAGAAGATCAGTCTAGATGAACGGCACACGGCCCATTGAGACTGGTAATCAAAGGGGAATGTTTCAGTGTTGCCATGACAACACTGTTTGTACATCTATAAGGGCAGATCAGCCCTGAGTGACACAGAGTAGAAGATCTGTGTTTGTTGGAGCACTCTGGCATCCCGGCTGCACACCCCGGTAAGTGCTGTTCGAGCAGGTGTTAAATTAGCCCCCCGCACACAAAGTGGTACAAGAGGGAGCGGCTTTTAATAAGCAATTCAATTTTCCTACTCTGAATATAGTCTGTCCTTTAACGTTGTTGTTTTATAGAAGTTCCCTGGTAGCCCAACAAACATTGTAATTATGAAATCGTATTTCGGTTTAGTTGAAAACACTACCTCATTTAATGTAAATTCAATTATCCAATATAATAGTTTATACAATCATTAGAGCGCAGACCAACCGACAACAATTTTATATCTATTTTTTTATACAATTTTTCTCTGAGATTTAACAGAGAAAAAAGCTTGTTGCAGGTTTGCTAAGAAAAATATGAATTATAATAATAAGCCTTAATTTTTCTTTTACATTTTTTTTTTCTTGAGTTGATAGAAAACATTTCAGTGGATATTAGTCATAATTTTATGGCATAGAAACCAAGACATGAGAGTGTGTCCTCCTCCTTTACTCTTTGAACATAGTATGAACTGCATCTATAATATTATATCATTAAACATGGCTACAGCGGCCTTCGAGTGTCATACGTGTTGCCTGTGTGCATAAATTCCGCCACTGCATCATCCAGGTGTTACGGCATCTGTTACCTCAGGCTAAA